AGCCCCATGGCTTTAGGGTCCAGTAAGGGGGTGAGAAACTGGAGCCTGTCATCAGGATCAACCCTGTGCAATTCACAGGCCTTCTCAAAGGCAATCAGGAATTCACCTATGTCCTCCCCTTTCTTACGCTGAGACAGGATGCACTTATCAAAGCTCCATACAGTCCTGGGTCCCCCCCTTACTCACCACAGCAGGGGCCTCTCGGTTCCTCAGCCTTACCAACTTCAGTTCATACTGACGCTGTTTCTCCTTCTCCTCCAGTTCATGCTGATGCTTCTTTTCATGATCCTCTTGATGCTTTTCCTGTTCTTCTCGCTCCTCCTGCAGTTCCTGCTGCCTCAGCTCCAGCTCTTTCAGTTTTAACTCCTTCTCCCATTCCAGCTGCCTCAGCTCCAGCGATGGGGAGCTCCGCTGGGAGGATCCCCTGCTGGCCACAGGGGTCAGGGTGCCCTCAGTGTTTGCTGGGCTCCTTTCAGCCCCTCCACTAGCCACAGGTAGGAGGGGTCTCGGGATGCCCTCGGCAGCAGTCTGACCCCTCCCAGCTGGGACAGACATCCCTGCTGGGACAGACCCCAGTGCCCGCCCTTCATCTGCAGGGCTTCTTCCCTCAGAGGCAGGGATCAGTTCATCCGAGCAATCTTCCTCCTCCAGCTGGGCAATCAGCTGTTCTTTGGTGAGCTTCCCAATACGCAGCCCCCTCTGCTTGTACAACTCAACCAGGCCCCTCTTAAGGCAATGGTTATACATCTTCCAGCCGGCCCCAAGTTACTGTAGTTACTTTGAACTCGCAGACCTGTGTGCTCTCAGCTCCCCACGGTTTCCAGGAGGGACCCCTAATGTGCCAGCCCTTCTCCAGGTCACCACCTCTCCCCCAGGGTCACGCCACAGACTCCTCTGCCCCTGGAATCACTCACCAGGGGGACCCCATTCTTGCAATAGTCCTTCTCTCTCCCAGAGTCAAGCCACAGACTCCTCCACCTCTGGAACTGCTAACCGCAGTCCCAGGGGGATCCCGTTCCTGCAACAGTCCTTCTCGCTGGTCACACACTCGCAGGAGTTAAGCATAGCTTCTCCGCCCCCCCTGAAACTGCTCCTCTCTGAGCCTTTAGCACATCTGGTCCTCGTCAATCCCCCTTCGTTTTACTGCTCCCTAGTCACTTACTGCAGGAAGCGCCATCCATGGAGTGCAGTAGATCCCATCGCGATCACCAGTTGTCAGGAAGTGTGGGGGAGACAAGGCCCTGAACCCCCCGCTTCCTGCTATTCACCATGACTCTCAACCAGCCAGTAAAGCAGAAGGTTTATTAGAAGACAGGAACACATTCCAAAACAGAGCTTGCAGGTACAGACAACAGGACCCCCTAAGTCAGGGCCATATTGGGGAGCAGGGAGCTTGGACCCTGGCCCCGGGTCTCCCTCCTTTTCCTCAGCCAGCTCCAAACTGAAACCCTCTCCTGCAATCTCCTACAGCCACACCCCCTGGCTCCTCCTCTAGCCTTTGTCCAGTTTCCCAGGTTGAAGGTGTCACCTGGCCCCAACCCCCTCCTGGCTCAGGTTAAATGCTCAGGTATCGTCCCTCAAGTGAAGTCACATCCTGATATCCCATCATCAATGCAGTCCGTACCAGTAAAACTCTCACACAACAGCCCCAGGTCAATATTCCCCACTCCCTATGCCGTCACAAAAACCTCTTAGCAGCACTACTGGGGAGAAGGGACGCAAAAGGGACAAAAGTTTCACCTTTGTCTCTGTCCATTCTCTCTTTCCCACGCATTCCCTGCCCTCTACTGTCCCTTATTTTCTTTTTTCCATCTTTCTGTCTTGTATCTTAAATTTTTTTTTGCACTTTATTTTATTTTTTGCTCCTCCCTCCCTCTTTCCTTCAGGTCTCTCTCCACATCCCCTAACTGTTCTGGTGAGCCTCGCAGAGACTCTCCACTCTCAGCCAGCTATTGCAAGCTCCCTCTCTCCCTAGTCATTGCAGTACAGCAGCACGGGCTTGGCTGATGTCAGACAGAGAGCAGGGTGTAGAACTGTGTAACACCCCTGGGGGAGGGGAGGAGAAGAGCTCAGTGTCTTTTAATGCAGTCGTCTGCTTTTCGTTAATGTTTTCTGCCATTTCGCTTATGCATCTCTCAACTGTTCTGGCAGAGACAGGCAGTTCTTTTATTCTAGATACGGTCGTATCTTTATTTGGCAAATCATTGAACAGAACCTCCGAACTGCTGAGAAAAACTTCTTTTATATATTCCCCATCTGTAAACGGCTTTCCGTTTTTTGCAATGCAGTGTGCAATCTTGTAACTTCCTTCTGTAGCTTGATTTTTACTTACGCTAAAGCATTTTAAAACACTGCTTTGCTTCTCATCTTCTGCTACTGGCTTTTTGATCAATCCAGTCTTGTTTGCTCCACCAAGAAAGGTTTTCTCGTGCTTTGTTTCAAAATGTCATCGAACACTTGATGTGCGACAAACAATACTTTCACAACAGAAAGCACTAACAGCACGGTCCTTCTTTTGAATACATCCTATTGTGTCTGTCCAAGAAGGCTGAAATGAATGGACATCTAACTTTGCTTTCTTAGGAGCTGACATTTTGTCAAATGTACCCCTCAACTCACAGTGGAAAAAAAAAATCTCGACAGATGGCACGCACAACATCAAACGCAGTGCGCTGTTCCACATGGCCTGATATAAGCAGCAAATCAGGACTTAAAAATATCCCAGTGGCACTGGAGCAATTTTTAAGGTGGGGGTGCTGAGCTGCGCCACCTCTTGCCCCTGTCTGCACCCCTCACTGCCCCAGGCTGGGGCCAGTGGGCCACAGCTGGGGGCAGCTGCAGAGCATGAGGCCGAGGCCAGGAGCAGAGCCCCAGGCCAGTGGTGGGGATGCCAGGCCAGGAGCAGAGCCCCCTGGATTGGTGGCCGGGACCGGCAGTGGACTGGAACCCCCAGTGGGAACAGTGGCCGGAACCCTGGCTGGCAGGGGGCCAGCAGCCAGGACCCCAGGCTGGCAGCAGAGCCCTGAGGCCGGTGGCCAGGACCCGGGCAGTGTGAGTGCCACTGAAAATCAACTTGTGTGCTGCCTTTGGCACGTGTACCATAGGTTGCTGACCCCTGGTATAATGTATGAGAAAATGTACGTGCACTGATATGACACACAGGATCACAATACAGACTGACATACAAGCAGAAGGACATAAATAGACAAGACAGAGGTGCTACAGTTGTTACCTAAACACAAAATCTTACACAAGGTAAAGAACCTCCACAGGCTATGGCAAAGGTGATTCCAAGTCGCAGGAACAATGTGTTTCATGCTCATACTCACAGAGTAAAACATGCTCTTCAGTCTAGATTTGTTTTCATTTCAGGTCAAGGAAAAACACCAAAGAAAGGGCTTAATCCTAAGAGGCACTGTGATGATGCTGCCTGTGGTCTACGGTACCTCCCTGGTTACTTAGAAGTCCAAATAATGCAGTTCCCTTAAAGTGCCCGGCCACAGGCCTCCATCCAGACACATGTCAAACATATGATGATAAATTCTGAAAATCTTATTTCATCATATAAAAGAAAAGGTTCTCCTGACCCCAAGGGACCAAGCCCCAGACCCAGGTCAAATAATAACTTAGATCTTACCCCAAATACACGCTTATAGTCAATTCTTATTAACTAAACTAAAATTTATTAAAAAAAAAAAAGAGAGGTAGAGTGTTGGTTAAAAGATCAATATACAGACAGACTTGAGTTCAATTCTTGAGGTTCAGATACAGAGCAGAGCTGAGCTTGTAGTTGCCAAAAATCCTTTTAGAAATAATCCATAGGTTATAGTCCAATGTCCATATTCAGGGTGACTCCAGTCAGTGACTGAGGATCTCAATCTTAATGGCTCAGAGTTTCCCCTTCTTGAAACCCAAAGCAGATCTGAGATGAAGAAGGATCCTGTCCCAAGGTTTTTATACATTTCTTGCAGCCTTTTGGCCTGAGAAAACAATAGGCTTAACTTCCTTTCTTCCAAACATCATGGCAATTAGCACAGGATAATTTATCCATTAAACAGTTCAGATACAGGTTATCACAGCCTTCAAAGAGACCTTGACAATAATACTATTTCACTCAAGTATATGTTAATATTCCTTTTTTGATCTTTGGATCAAACCTATAGCCATAGACAAGACTTGTTTGCTTACATCACAAGACCTGAGCAAACATCTACTCTTCTATCTCTAACAATGCAGGCTTGCATTTCAAAGCTCTATTCATTTACATATCTTCCTAACCAGTCTTTAAATTTCGGCCATGGGTCAGGTCAGTCTGTGAGTTAATTAACTCTTTCTGGCCCTGTCACCTTTCAATGAGATATTATATTACACTCCTAACGTCACAGGCACTAACCGCTTCCTGCAAGGTACTGAGCACCCTGAACTCCCACTGAACTAGTGGGTGCTCAGCACGTCTCAGAATTGGGCCCAAAGACTGAACAAATAGACATTTTCCATGACAGAGAAAACACAGTGACTGTAACATGCTGCGTCTTAAGGACAAGATTGCAGCTGCATTAGGTAGGGAGAAAAATCTACTTTTAAAAGTGTAGTATTCAGAAAACAGCCTTTAATTTCCATTGCTACGTGTAGATAGAATAGTTAGACATAATAGGCAAGATTCTGCCACCCCTACTCACACTGAGTAATACCTCACTCTACTAACACTGATTTCAATGGGGCCTGCTTGTGGGGTATTGGACTAGTCAACATAAGGGTGGCAGAATCTGGCCCAACATGAGAACAATGGGCCAGATTCTCAGCTCATGGAATGCAGCCTGGCACCATTGGCTGGCCCAGTATCATTAGGAGAAAACAGATAACTCAGAGTAGAAGTCAGTTCCGGTGATTGGGGTAAGAGAGTCAGAGACAGAGCATGACAATAAAATTCATATATATATATATGGAGAGAGAGAGAGATCAACACTCAGAGATCATCAGGAGCTCTGAGATGATAATAGAGAGCCCCTGACTAAGGCAGCCCTGATTACAGAATGGACCCCACCTGAGAGAAATTAGGTGATTCCAGGTTTAATTACGGAGTGGGCCCAGCTGAGGAAGGGCTGGAGGCAAGAGAATGCGGGGAGTCAAAAGGTGCCTGCAGGGTCTTAAGTGAGCATCCAGGGAACAGATTGGGAGACCTAGAAGGGAAGTAAAGAGGTGAGGAAGGAAATGGCACAGGGAAAATTGCAATATGGGTAGAGGATTTGCTGTAGCTATGCAGTACAGGGCCTTGGGCTGTAACCCAGAATTGAGGTGGGGACTGGATTCCCCTACCAGCCCCAAAGAAATGGTGTACAAGGGTAGCTGAGCCCAGCGAGGGGGCTGCAGGCTGAACGTAACCTTGCTGAAGAAGAGCTGTAGAGAGGGTGGAAGCTTTTTATCTCTGTTCAGATAGTTCTGAATGCTAGTGTGGCTAGCTGACCCTGGAAGGAATGGGCTAACAACTGGGCCCTGGCTGGCGGGATGAGTTCTCTGAAGGAAACCACCCCAGCCCCAGAGTGACTGTTGACAAGGGCTGCTACCCCACAAGGACACTGTGATGCCATGCCTGGCCATGAGGAAATGCATAGTGGTGAGTAAACCCTGTTACAATGCTTTTTCTTAATTACTTTAACTGCAGCATGTCTGAAACAACTCCATTTTTCAGAGTACCAGCCTGTTAGTCTGTATTTGCAAAAAGAAAAGGAGGACTTGTGGCACCTTAGAGACTAACAAATTTATTTGAGCATAAGCTTTCATGAGCTACAGCTCACTTCATCGGATGCATTCAGTGGAAAATACAGTGGGGAGATTTATATACAAAGAATATGAAACAATGGGTGTTACCATACACACTGTAATCAGAGTGATCACTTAAGGTGAGCTATTACCAGCAGGAGAGTGGGGGGGATGGGGGATGGACGACCTTTTGTAGTGATAATCAAGGTGGGCCATTTCTAGCAGTTGACAAGAATGTCTGAGGAACGGGGGGGGGGGGGGAGATAAACATGGGGAAATAGTTTTACTTTGTGTAATGACCCATCCACTCCCAGTCTCTATTCAAGCCTAAGTTAATTGTATCCAGTTTGCAAATTAATTCCAATTCAGCAGTCCCTCGTTGGAGTCTGTTTTTGAAGTTTTTTTTGTTGAAGTATTGCCACTTTTAGGTCTGTAATCGTGTGACCAGAGAGATTGAAGTGTTCTCCAACTGGTTTTTGAATGTTATAATTCTTGATGTCTGATTTGTGTCCATTTATTCTTTTACAGAGAGACTGTCCAGTTTGACCAATGTACATGGCAGAGGGGCATTGCTGGCACATGATGGCATATATCACATTGGTGGATGTGCAGGTGAACGAGCCTCTGATAGTGTGGCTGATGTGATGAGGCCCTATGATGGTGTCCCCGAATAGATATGTGGACACAGTTGGCAATGGGCTTTGTTGCAAGGATAGGTTCCTGGGTTAGTGGTTCTGGTGTGTGGTTGCTGGTGAGTATTTGCTTCAGGTTGGGGGGGCTGTCTGTAGGCAAGGACTGGCCTGTCTCCCAAGAGCTATGAGAGTGATGAGTCATCCTTCAGGATAGGTTGTAGATCCTTGATGATGCGTTGGAGAGATTTTAGTTGGGGGCTGAAGGTGATGGCTAGTGGCGTTCTGTTATTTTCTTTGTTGGGCCTGTCCCGTAGTAAGTGACTTCTGGGTACTCTTTTGGCTCTATCAATCTGTTTCTTCACTTCAGCAGGTGGGTATTGTAGTTGTAAGAATGCTTGACAGAGATCTTGTAGGTGTTTGCCTCTATCTGAGGGGTTGGAGCAAATGCGGTTGTATCGCAGAGCTTGGCTGTAGACTATGGATCGGGTGGTGTGGTCTGGGTGAAAGCTGGAGGCATGCAGGTAGGAATAGCGGTCAGTAGGCTTCTGGTATAGGGTGGTGTTTATATGACTATTGCTTATTAGCACCGTAGTGTCCAGGAAATGGATCTCTTGTGTGGACTGGTCCAGGCTGAGGTTGATGGTGGGATGGAAATTGTTGAAATCATGGTGGAATTCCTCAAGGGCTTCTTTTCCGTGGGTCCAGATGATGTCATTTTTGTAGTTTTCCTTGTCCACTCTCTTTCTTTTCCTACACCTCGTGGCAGGCACAGTATCTCAGCCCTAGTCTACATCCAGCTGATGATAGCACCTTTGGCAAACAGTAAATGACTGACTGTCCTTGGCCACTTTTATATTGCGTGAGTACATGTGCTGTCAGACCCCGATCTGCAGAAGGGATTCTTTCAGCAGCAAATTAACACGAAGTGATTTACTTTGTCCATATTGGATACAAGGTTAAGGGGGTGGGGGAGAATCACTCCAGGTTGCACTTGCTTTTGAAATTTTTACTTCTGTAAGTCCTTTGGAAGAAATTTCCCCTACTTGGGATGGGATAAGTATTGCGGGTAAGTCATATAAATAACTGTGCTGCTAAGATTTGAATTGATTTAGCTCCTGGCCTAGCCCAAATTTGGTTGTGGGGGTTTTTTGGTTTTTTTTATTCTACAGAGATTGTGCTTCCTTGGAACAATAAATAAACTCCAAACTAGAAAAGGCACATTCTGTGCATTAAGGGCTGGCTTCCTCTCTCCTTTACTTTCACTGAGCAGTACTTTCATTCCATGAATCATCCCCCTGATTTCAGTGGGAAACTTTACTAATAAGATACTAAAAGTATGTGCTGCAGCAGAATTGATCCCTTGTTGCCACGTTTTCAAGAGCTCAGTTCCCATTTGGGTGCTTTAGTGAAGTGGCCAGACCTTTCAAAGTGCTCCATACCTGCCAGCTCCCACCATTCTAGCCTTTTGAAAATCTGATGCTAAATGTTTGTCAGTGCCATAATTATGTTCTTCAAAGGCAGAAGCAATGTGGGATCTTTTATGATAGAGTAGTTCTGAGACATTGTAGCTCAGGATAATAGAACAGACTTGATGCTGCAATTCAGCTAATTAAAATGATTGTAGTCCCTTGCTGAACGACATTTCCCAGGATTATTTCAACCTCAGATCAGAACTCTTCCTCTCCCCAGGTATAAATGCCAAGCCCTGGAAAGTCTTGCTAGAGGGTCTTAAACAGCATAGTGTAGAGACCATCCAACCAGGTACGCATGTATGTCTAAATGACTCCGTTTCATTAGCCTCACTATAGCTACTCAGTCCAAAAACTGTGTAACTTAAATTTTCCTGTAATTATAGGCTTTCTTAAATGCTCCTTTTTCACCAGCTCACTACCTGTTTGAGGTCATGACCTGCATGGTTCAGGATTGCTTGTGTGTTTGTCACTCTCAAGATGCTGGACAGCAAAAAGAAGTGGGAGTGGGGTGAAGCAGAACATAGTCATGCAGACATCCGTTCGTTCGTATATGTGCATGTGCCTATTCCATGCGCACAGGAACCTGAGATCACCTGACTCATTTGCTCACTGGCACAGCAAGCCATGATTCCCCAAACAAGAAAATAAATCCAAATAAAGGATCACATGCCCCCGCAGTCTAAGTCACAAAATAGACGCACTAGGTAATTGTGCAGCTGGTGCCATGTCCAACTGCTGCAGAGTATGTATCTACCCTAGCCATGAGTAAAACAACCATCACCGTGTACTTTATATAGGTGGCTAACACCATTATTTAAAAAAAGAGAGAATGAGCCCTATGGGATGTATTGTGCATTTATGGAATGGGACACATTTTTGCAGTTTGCCCCATTGCCCTCTCTTGGGGGCAGGCCTCCAAGGATATTCCAGCATTTTATTTTGCCAAATATGTGGGCTCTTCCTGACCCCCAGCAGAGGGATGCTCCACAGGCGAGGGCTCTCAGCTCCAGGGGGAAGTGTAACTTGAGCAGTGAGTGTCTTCCCCCTCCAAGCTCTGTCAGTCATATTCCTTGTGCAGATTGGTGTATTCTTGAAGGGTTGCACAGAGCCCCTGATCTAGCTCAATTAGTGGGGCTTTATAGATTAGGGCTAGGACCTCAAAGCAAATCCTGCACTGGGGAGACACTGCAGTGCATTGAACGTGTTCGAATAAGCTGTTGCCAAGGTGATGCTGTCGGGAGTTCTTCCAGCGTGCTGGACCAGTTGAAGCTTCGTCTAGATTGGGCTGATTGAGGAAGTAGAGTAGAAGGTAAAAGCATGTATTGCTGCAGCCAGGGCTTCATCTGGGATGGGCGGGGGGTTGTTTCCTGCGTCTGTTGTGCATACCTGGAAGTACAAAACAAAAATCTGTTTCTTTACTGATTTGTTTTCCCCTCAATTTAACATACCCATGATAACTTGTTGTAGGCAGTTAGGACAACTCACCTTGATGGTGTCCCTTCTTGGCATGCGAATATTTTATTTATAAAAGTGGATATTATTGTTACTGACCTTCTGGGAAGGACAAAGGACAGGCAGTAGATACTGAAGAGGTGGAGCCAATATTTCAAAGTCAATAAATTACCTATCTGCTTTAGAAGTAGGTTTTAGTTTCCTGTTTGAGTGCTAGCTAACAGATCTTTTAGGGCCAAACCTCGGCATTTGCACAAAGTCTTATGCAAATCCAGAAACTACATGTAACTGACCAATTTGCTATGCAACTAAATCTACCTACAAATGTTGAGGAAGCCTTTAAGGAGGTCTGTTAAACATTTGGCCTGGAGAGTCATACAAGAAAGGTAGAAATGTAAAAGTTGTTCCCTTATTTGTAGCAGATTGCTTCTCTAATGTCCATGTCCAGCATGTGTATGTGTGCCTTTATGATGACAGTTAAGGGACTAGGTGAATCTGCTTTAAATTGCAAAATCTGCTGGAAAGAGGGATGGTGTCCCTAGTCTCTGTTTGCCTGAAGCTGAGAATGGGTGATAGGGTGGATCACATGACGATTGCCTGTTCTCTTCATTCCCTCTGAAGCACCTGGCATTGGCCACTGTTGGAAGACAGGGTACTGGGCTAGATGGACCTTTGGTCCGACCCAGTATGGCCATTCTTATGTTGAATAAGTGTCATAA